AAAAACAAAACAAAGCAAAAAAATATAGAAACGTTTCATCTCTCAGCTCTGAGCTGAAAACAGCACCTCAGACTGAGGAAGTCTCTTGAATGAGAGACAAAACGTTTCTATATTTTTTTGCTTTGTTTTGTTTTTTTGTTTTTTTTTACCACACCTAGTCTGTATGGTTTACCTTAAATCCACAAACAAGGTGTACCTTTAAGACCTATTGTTAGCATGATTAACTCTGTCACTTACAATGTTTCCAAATATCTGGCGTCTGTACTCATCCCTTTAGTTGGCAGCTCAGAACACCACATACAGAACACCATGGACTTTGTGGATAAGGTGAGGGATGTCATCATGGAGACTGATGAAACAATAGTCTCTTTTGATGTCACATCACTCTTTACGTGCATTCCTGTTGATGATGCAGTAGAGGTGGTCAGTTTAAGATTAAAATCAGACACCACTCTGAGCAGCAGGACCACGCTTTCCACAGAACAACTGTGTCAACTCTTGAAACTGTGCCTGCAGTCAACCTACTTCACATATGGGGAACAATATTATAGGCAGAAACATGGGTGTGCTATGGGGTCTCCAGTTTCTCATATTGTTGCCAACCTGTACATGGAGGAGGTAGAAAAGAGAGCCTTGACGTCCTTTTCAGGGACACCACCAAGTCATTGGTTCTGGTATGTTGACGACACCTGGGTTAAAATTAAATCTCAGGAAGTCCAACATTTTACTGACCACATCAACTCTGTGGATAAATACATCAAGTTCACACGAGAAGATGTAAAAAATGGCAAGTTGGCTTTCTTGGACTGTGAGGTCTCAGTCTCTGATAGAGGACATTTGCAAACCGAGGTTTACCGCAAACCCACCCACACAGACCAGTATTTGCAGTTTGACTCCCATCACCCTTTGGAGCACAAGTTAGGAGTCATCAGGACTCTGTATCACAGAGCAGACAGCATCCCCACTAACTCGGGAGCCAGGCAGAAGGAGAAATCCTACACCAAACAGGCTCTAGAGCAATGTGGATATCCTTCCTGAAAGCAGAGAAGAAACCCAAACAGGACTCCAGTCAGCCATCAGGTGAAAAGGAAGAACCCAGACCCAGACCAGTAGTCATTCCGTATGTTGAGGGAGTATCAGAGAATCTGAGACGTTTATTTTCTAAACATAACGTCCCAGTGGCTTTTAAAGCCCAAAATACATTACGGCAAAGACTGGTTCATCCCAAAGATCCAGTCCCCCAGCACAAACAGAGTAATGTTGTGTATGCTGTTCAGTGTCAGGAGGGCTGTGATCAGTCTTACATCGGGGAAACCAAACAGCCACTGGCCAAAAGGATGGCCCAGCACAGAAGATCAACATCATCAGGCCAGGACTCTGCGGTCTACACTCATCTCCAGGCCCGCTGTCACTCTTTCAAGGATGAAGATGTGCACATCCTGGACAGAGAGGAACGATGGCTTGAGAGAGGAGTAAAGGAGGCCATCTTTGTGAAAAGAAATCGTCCATCATTAAACAGGGGTGGAGGCCTCTGGGTTCAATTGTCCCCCTCTTACAATGCTGTGATTGCTAGTATCACTCAGCCCTCTGTGAATGGTAAACAGCCATCAGTGTGCTAATGATCCATTGTTATGCTGATGGTCCTTCTTGACCATGTGAGCAGCTGGTTTTGGTTGTCAGCAGCAAACTGGTTGATCCACTCTGAGAAGGTGCTATTTAAGAGACTGAGCTGAAAACAGCACCTCAGACTGAGGAAGTCTTTTGGATGATAGACGAAACGTTTCTATATATTTTTGCTTTGTTTTTTTTGTTTGTTTTTTTGAATGTCCAGAGGACCAGATTGAACTTTTTTGGATTTTTCTACCTGGATTATTGAGCATGCATCATGATACTTAATTATACTGTTTATTTTAATTCTTGGTCCGAAATAAACGCTGGAGGGGTTAACATATCTGAAAACTCACCAAACTTTACCCAAATTTTTCCCACGTGTGAGATTTGGGTATTTAAACGGAATCAAAAGTGGGCGTGGCCAAAATGCTCCACAGCGCCCCCAAATGTGAGATACGAGAACTGGTAAGTCGTACAGAGCTGAAATTTGGTAAATAGGTAGAGCCCACTGAATCAAGAAAAAATGTCTCTTGGAGGTATGCCCTAAACCCAACAGGAAGTCGGCCATTTTGGGTCAAAGGGTCATTTTTGTGCGTTTTTCACTTTTCATACATGGCGAATTTGAACTCCTCCTCCTAGGGATTTCGCTCAAACACTTCCAAACTTGGTAATTTTGGTCAAAAGGCTTGGGGGATGAAAAGTTATCAAAATTATTTGTTTTGTAGCATGCTGAAGGGGCGGGGCCAGACCTCAAAGTTATGTTTCACGCTATAAATTTCCAAAAGCTATAATTTTCACGTTGAAAGACTGAATTGAACCAAACTTGGCAAGAGTCATCCCTGTCCGATGCCCAAGGATCCTCTGTGTCAAATTCTGATGTCATCAAAGCCCTGACCCCTCAGAACAGGAAGTCACTTTTTTTGCTTGGAATGCTCCCTCTCTGACACCCTCGATCGAATCAGGATGATTCTGTGTTAGAAGACATATAACAAGTTGGTCTGACTTGCTTTAGAGCGCAAACCGTTTTTGCTGGAGGATGTGGGCGTGGTGGCGTGGCAATTCAGAAGTGATGCCGTTGCAATGCGTTTGGCTCTAAGTTCCACAGATTTGATCCGAGGTTCATCAAAATCACTATGATCGATCATTACCCACCCCTTGAACAGGAAGCCATGATAATTGGCCAATAGCCTCCACAATGCCCCCTAGAATATTTTAAAACCTAAGTCCCAAGCCATTTTTTGACCAATAATTCTGAAACTCGGTGAACATCTGTATCTTCTCAGGACCTATGAAAAAGTCTCGTGGAGCGCTGGTCCAAAATCAACAGGAAGTCAGCCATTTTGGGTCAAAGGGTCATTTTTGGGCGTTTCTAATGGCAAATTTTAACGAAATCCTCCTAGGGATTTTGAGTGATTGTCTTCAAATTTTGTTAATATGCTCAAAAGACATTGGAGAGTAAAAGTTATCAAAAGCTTTCAGTTTTGTTTTGTTAAAGGGGCGTGGCCAGGCCTCAAAATTTGACATCTCGCCATGAAAAACGAAACGCTAATAGCTCCTACACGAAAACTGAGTGAGACATCAAACCTTCAGTGATTGATCCACATCCGGTCCCCTGCAAGACTGAATGGTCAAATCATGACATCACTTAAGCCACATCCCCTGATAATAGGAAGTGTAACGTTTTACCTTGAACGGTCCCTATCTGATCCCTGTCACCTGATCAGCATGATAGTGTGTCCAGTGACCGAAGACATGATGATGTAACTTGCTTTCCAACACTGACAGTTTGGAGTGGAGCATGTGGGCGTCGCAACGTGGCGAAGTAAGACGTAATGCTGTCGCCATACGTTTGGCTCTAAATTCCACAGATTTGAATCGAGATTCACCAAAATCAGTATGATCGATAATTATCCACCCCTTGAACAGGAATCCATGATAATTGGCCAATAGCCTCCACAGCGTCCCTTAGAATATTTTAAAACCTCAGCCCCAAGCCATTTTTTGACCAATAATTCAGAAAATCGGTGAACATCTGTATTGTCTCAGGACCTATGAAAAAGTCTCTTGGAGCCCTGGTCCAAAACGAACAGGAAGTCAGCCATTTTGGGTCAAAGGGTCATTTTTGGACGTTTCTAATGGCGAATTTTAACCATCTCCTCCTAGGGATTTTGAAGGATTGCCTTCAATCTTGGTTAATATGCTCTTAAGACATAGGAGAGTAAAAGTTATCAAAAGCTTTCGGCTTCGTTTTGTTAAAGGGGCGTGGCCAGGCCTCAAATTTGCGCTTCACGCCATAAATTTAAAAACGCTATAACTTTCACATTGAAAGACCGAAAAGCACCAATCTTGGCATGACTCATCCCTGTTGGATGCCCGACGATCCACTGTGGTCATATTTTGACGTCATCAAAGCCCCGCCCCCTCAGAACAGGAAGTCTCTTTTCTTACTTGGAATGCTCCCTTTTTGACACCCTTGACCTAATCAGGATGATCCTGTCTTACAATGCAGATAAGATGGGCTGAGTTGATTTAAAGTGCAAACCGTTTTTGCTGGAGGATGTGGCGTGGCGAATAAAGAAGTTATGCCGTTATAATACGTTTGGCTCTAAATTGCACAGATTTGAGCCGAGGTGTACCAAAATCACTATGCTCGATCATTATCCACCCCTTGAACAGGTGTCCATGATAAGTGGCAATAGCCTCTATAGCACCACCTACATTCTTCCTATAGTTATATCTCAGAGATACATCATCCGATCTGAACCTTATTTTTGGTGTGTCATTAGTGAGCACTTATGGACACATTGGCATTGTCGTTTAACATTTGACTCCTGAGCACCCCCTAGGTTATTCTACAAGTTATATCTTAGTGATGTATCTTCCGATCTACACCAAATTTATGGTGCATCATTAGTGAGCACTTATGGACACATTGGTATTATTTTTTAACTTTTGACTCTTGTGCGCCCCCTACATTATTCCAACAGTTATATCTAAATGATACATAATCCGATCTGCGCCAGATTTTTGGTGCATCATCTGTGAGCATTTTTAGACACATTGGTATTGTTGTTTAATATTTGACTCAAGTGTGCCCCCTACATTATTCAAACTGTTATATCTCAGTGATATATCATCCGATCTGTACCTGATTTTTGGTGTGTCATTAGTGAACATTTCTAGACACAATGGTATTGTTGTTTAATATTTGACTCAACTGCGCCCCTACAATAGTCCAACAGTTATAGCTCAGCTTTACATCATCCGATCGAAACCAGATTTTTGCTGCATAATCCTGAACACGTCTAAACACATTGATATTGTGGTTTAACATATGACTCAACTGTACACCCTCACATACTGATATGGGCGGAAGGCGATTGCAAAGTTTAGTCATATACGTACTCTGGTGGACTCATGCGGGAATGGCAAGAGAGCGTTTGCGACGGTGACAAGGAGGCGTTGCTGGGGTGCCCGCTGATGTCGAAAGTCCGGCAAATGCGTACTCCAGTGAAAGGGCACGGGATGGGAGCGGGAGTGTGAGCATTCGCAATGGCGACCGAGCAGAGTTGCTGGAGCTCCCGCGGTCGCCGTAAGGCTGGAGCGGCGCTTTGCTGCGAGGGCCTTCAATGTTTCTTGCAGCTTTAATTCTTTTGTTTTGCTTGTGAAGCACTTTGTGATGTTATTGTCTGTGAAAGGTGATATATAAAGAAAGATTACTTACTTACGTGTTTTGTATAGAGTTAGAGAATCCATCCATCCATCCATCCATTATCTTTTACCCGCTTCTTCCTTTTCGGGTCGTGAGGGTCACTGGTGCAAATATCCAGCAGTTCACTGTGTGAGAGGTGGGGGACACCCTGGACAGATCTCCAGTCCATCACAGGGACACAGAGACAAACGAGACAAACAACCATTCTCTCTCTCTCTCACATCTAGGTATAATTTAGAGTCACCAATCAGTCTAACGTGCATGTTTTTGGTTTCCTCCTCCTTCCTGTGCTCCTTCAGGCTTTGCTGTATTGCTTCAGAGAACAAACTGTTCAGTTGGAAGGTGTTTTATAAGCTTTGTTTGTGTTGGTGTGTACTTATTTATTGCTCTTTTGTAAAACAAGTAATTATTTTGTACTTTTGCCAGCTTTAATAACAGCTGTGATGATCTAGAACAATGAGTCAGCATTGTAAGTTTGAGGCAGTTCTACGGATGGTTCACCTGCTTCAAGTGTCCTGTTTTTATTAATTATAAATGAAGCCATTTGTGGGCAGCACGGTGGCGCAACTGGTAGAGCTGCTGCCTCTCAGCAAGCAGGTCCCTGGTTCAAATACAGGTCCGAGGACCTTTCTGGGTGGAGTTTGCATGTTCTCTCCATGCATGTGTGAGTTTTCTCTGAGTACTCCAGTTTCTTTCCACAGATCAAAAACATGCATGTTAGACTGATTAATAACTTTAAACTGTCTCTAGATGTGTGTGAGAGAGTGAATGGTTGTTTGTCTTGTTTGTCTCTCTGTGTCCCTGGATGATGGACTGGAGACCAGTCCAGGGTGTACCCCGCCCCTCGCACAATGATTGCTGGACATGGGCACCGGCGATCCCCGTGACCCAAAATGGAAGAAGCGGGCAAAAGATAATGGATGGATGGAAGCCATTTGGCTCAGGAGTCATGTATTACGATGCTCTCAACAAAGCAGCACAGAGGTTTTTCATAACTTGTGGTGGCTACCACAGTGTTTAAATCCCAACGTGTTGATGGATTGTTTTATGGTGGTGATTGTTCTCACTTCAGTGTCTCATAACCAACACCAGAACATCTTAAGTGTGTTTGTATTCCTTAAACAGGACAAAACATTCTTCAATTTTGACCTGCTTGTTTGGGATTTTTCTAAAAAAAAAAAAACACACACACAAAAAAACGTCAGAACAGTCAAGAAGCAACAATTAAAAAAAAAATGTAAAAATAAAGCTAAATAACAAACTCACCTTCCAAAATATCCTTTTGAATAGACCTTGAGGAGCCACTGAAGATCTTGCATCTTGAATGGAAACAGCACAAGATGAGTGGTGCTGTCTATTTGTGTTGCACTTTCTGGATACATGACACGATGAGTTGTTCTGCTCCCAACATCTTTCTCATAACCTTTGACCTTTCCATGATTTATTCTATATTAGACAGAGGGAGATAATCATTTGCTTTTGTTTTTTTTAAATTTAATTAAAGAAGACTCCTTTAACTGATCCTTTACCTGATGACAACATCTTGGGAATCTATCAGTGGTCCATAATGGGATCTTCTTAAATTTACAGAATTTCCCACTACTGCACAAGTCCGGCATTGGTCAGAACTGGGTTTTTCAAGGTGAGGTTTGGCAGGGAATATCTGAAACAGGTCCTTCACTGTTGCTTTAAAGACATTAAAGTTTTGTCTTTCACCCTGCAAATGCTGTCAAATACAGTCTGTGGTTAAACTGGTTTTCAGAGGAACTCTCAAGACATCAGTGATGGGAATTTACAACAAGGACATGAGATAAATACACTTTTCACAAACCAGGATGAGACAGCTCACCTTCCACCACATGTAGTCCTCCTCTGAGAGCTTGCTGTTTGCAGTCAGAAAGGGCTCCACAGAATGACTCGCATGATGAAACAGGAACGTTTTGTCTTCAGATAAACACTTGTCACAAGAACACGGCTTTTGGTTGTAAACCTGGAGCTGGTCACTCAACATAAACAGAAATAAAAGTGCAGCACTGCTGACAAGCAGCAGGATCATGACCTTTATTTTAACAGCCATACAGGATGTGAGCTTCTTTAAGCTGGGATATCGTCTCAGCCTGTGAAAAGTTTGGTGAAACAGACACAAGGTTAGATTAATAAATCACAGCAATATTGGTTTTACGTCTTCACAGCTAAATCTGGTTAACTATGAGACCACACTCCACCCATCCATCAGCTTCCACAACAGTTTTAAACTAAGATCATCTCATATTAGTTATCAAAGAATAAAAAGGATGCTGATCAGCTTCTGTCTCATCAAATTCAGCTTATCGTCTGTAAAATTGGTCGTTAAAACCTGAAATCAGTTGACTATGGCAGCCATCTTAAAATTGGTTGACACCTAATTTTAAACAGTTGTAGATACACACCTAGTGATGATATACTGGAAAAAAAAAAATTAAATATATCTTTTGGTTCAGGAGAAATTTAGCTAACAAACAGAGTTGATTCCACTAGGTTATGACAAATTTTAAAATTGAAATCTTGCCTGGTCTGTTAGTGATGGTGGCATGAGTTTACCCCAGTAGCTTTAACTACGCAGTTTGACTTCAGTGCCTGAAAAATCGCCTGAGCTATAGCTGTTATTGTATTTGCTAAAGTTTTCTTAGATGTGGCAGCCATTTTGAAAATTATTTTCTGTGATGTATGTTCAATGTTCACTTTCCTGTAAGCCTGAACTCCCTTCAGCCATATGTCTGCAGTCTGTTAAAAATATTGGGATGGTTGACTCTGAACGGGGAAACAAACAGCCACTGGCCAAAAGGATGGCCCAGCACAGAAGATCAACATCATCAGGCCAGGACTCTGCGGTCTACACTCATCTCCAGGCCAGCGGTCACTCTTTCA